ATGTTAATTAATAGCTTAATTAACAAAATTTTCTATTTTGATGCAATGCAAAAATATTCACTTATTACCAGTTAAAATTCCTAGAAAATTAGGCATACTTGACCATGAATTTAATTAAATAGGGTAATTAGTAGTATGAGCCAAGAAAGATATCTGTATTTCTGCATAGTGTGGTAGTAAATGCAATTTAGGAAATCGTAATACTTACCTGTTTCATTTATTATAAGTAACATTGAACATAATTTATCCATTTAATTGTATGAGCATAACAATGGACTGATTTTCCATTGCATTTAAAATTTGGAAAAGAATAAGCCTAATACTGTTAAGCCTAGTGTTTTTGAAATAATATTTTTTACTAGAATTTACCAATTATTTTGATTATTGCTTGGGAGATATCATACCTAAAAGTGATATCCACATGAAAGCAATTAGAAAATACAATCTTGTTGGTTCGAAAATAACATTTTATTTTGATAAAATTAGTGTCACAAAGTGATTCAGTGGTAGCAGCAATAAAAAATGTGGTTTGACAGAGTGCAAACTTTTACAGATTGAAAATGCAATGCCAATCCATATCTTTGTGTTAGCTAAAATTTAATCAGATTAATCTACATTGTTGAATTATCCTTCATGCGGAATTAGAAATCAAGTATATTATTACAATTTAATCGTTGAAGCATTATTTTTAAAGGAATTGCTATAAACAATGTATAACCGGATAAACAAATGGTTCCACTTGTCTGAAAAATGTAAATAAAACAGTTTACCATACATGTTGTTCTTAGTTTATTTGTAATATTTCAGGTAAATAAAAAACATTTGTGATAGAAAAGCCATGAAACTGCAAGTAATCAGTTGTGCTGTAATAAGAATAAATTCACGACTGTAATGATTGTCTTTTCTGCGACAGAATAATGCGGTGGCCATTAGGGTGTATATTACTAATAAGTACCATAAAGCAAGAAAATGATAAAAAGTATAACTGCTATGTATTTTATAGCCTTATGATTCTCATTTCTTATATCAGCCTCATATGTCATGTTTCTTTCCAGGCAAGTTACGGCCAATATCAGAAATAATAGTAATATAGTAATGACGAGTAAACATTTTAATTTGCTATCTTTGACAGGAGGAAGAGAAGAATTTCAGCTGACTAGAATACAAAACTGCTAACGAGATTCGGAATTATTTTGCATTAATTAGGAAGCAATTTGATTGCGAATAATATTTTCACTTCTTCCACAACTATCGTAGAAAGATCGCTGATAACTTTCGTTTTTGCACGTAGGAACAACACTGTTGAGATGTTTTTAATTTCTAAATTACAATTTGTCTTCAATTTTCAACTAAATCAATTTGCACGGCAATTTATTTTCCTTACTAAGTGAATCTTTCAGAAATAGTCATGACGATCCAATGCAAAATAACAGATTGAAAATTTCCTGCTTTTTAATTGTTGGGTCTTCTTATTGCATTGCTTTAGCAAAGCACTTTTTGATAATCTGTGGAAATGAGATAGTTTGGTACGATTGCTGACAGCAACGCAAATACTCCGAGAAGCATTTTCAATCTAAATTATAAAATTATTTGCAAAAATATTTTAAATGAATGTAATGCATACGTAACAATTGAATATCTTTTTTCATTTCTATGCAGAGCCTAATGAATTTTCTTGTTATTGAACCAATGCTTATATTCAAAGGAATTTATGCGTAAAATCAATGACAAAAACAAATGAAGCTGACAACTATGTGAAGGTACATTTATTTATTCACTGATTATACATTTTCTAAATGAGCCTATGTAATTAACCCAGTACTATAAAATTAACAAGTATATTTGAAAAATATCAACTATTAACCGTAAAAGCTACAGGAGTTTGAGTTCCGGTTTTAATTTGTAGTTTGGAAATTGAGATCAAAAAACATCAATGTTACCACATATGAAAGCAACGAGGATATCGTTAACATTGTCATTAGCAATTTCAACAATGTTATAGTAAACATTATTTCGCGATCAATTTACAATTGCTTCGTGATTAATCTATATTAATTCCAAATTCTAATTCGCAATTCTTGATAGTTTTGTATTCAGCCAATCCTTTTTTTCTTCGAAGATAATCAATTAAAATGTTGACTTGTTCTTGCTAAATTACTGTATTATTGTCACATGTATATCGATATTCTACAGTATACATCAAAATTTCTACAATAAATTATTTCTTCCGCCTATATTGAACACTATTCAATTGTTTCATCATTGCGTTTAAAACTGATACCAAATTCAAAAACTATTTCATTACATCTCCAACTAATTTCCAAAGAAAGCAACTGGCAAGAAAGATCAATTTAATTATAAATTTTTTTCATTTTTCAAATTATCAGAATTTTAACTCAGTTGAGGCAAATAAATTATTTAAATATTTATGAATTATTTACAAGCTTTTTAATAAATTTGAATTGGCACACATTTTAAAGCAATTATTGAAATTAATTTTTACTATAATTTTGAAGAATTCCCATTTTTTCATCCGAGAAATTGATTACATTTTAATGGAACCAATTGAAGTTCTACAATTTGAAACGAAAGTCTAAATTTAATGTGTGAATAATTGAAATTCAAACATAAAATAATTTCTAAAACAATTATCAGTCAATAAACTAAATTTTAGTTTGTTGAATCAAATAAAACTGAAGTTAATGTAAGTGAAATAATATCGGCGACAAATAAATCAAAAGAAATGGTTTCTTAATTTTATGTTATTTTTTAAATTAAATAGCATAGTATATCACTAAATATATGTCCTATAAAATTTCTATATTATTATACAAATTTAAAACAAAAACTTCATAATAATATCTCTTAAAATATATTTTAATGTTTCACAAAAATATTATTTAATTTATTTCCTATGTTTAGCAATTTTTAAAAATTTGATAAATAAAAAAATTTTGCATTTATAAATTGAGAAAATTAAAAGTTTGAGTTTTTCACCTTACTTTATATATATATTCTTCATGCACATGCATTTGTTTATTCATCTTGACATGCATTGTTTACGATTTGTTGCTATAGTTGTAAATTTGCATAAAGCAAACAATTTTATTGGGAAATGCAAGCAGCAAATCGTAAATATGCATTTGCAAGAAATGAAAACAAAAAATTATTATTTATTTTTAGAGTAAAATCATCGTAAAAGTTTGTGAAAAGAATTACTATCTATGTGGAAAAAAAGAAGGAAAGGTAATGAAACAAAGTTTAATTGTTTATTGTTTTGAAAATGGAAAGAAATAAAAAGCAAATGAATTCATTTAGTTTATTAGCGCAATTATAAAAACGAAATAAGCGATTTATCCAAGTATTATTTACCTATAAATTCACTAAATTTAATAGTTAGCTATCCTAAATTCATTTCATTGAATGCTTAATCTAATTTGGCTGATTTCATTGATTATATTTAGTTTAGTGCTTTTTCATAATTCTATAATACGTCGATTTCATTCAGATATATATGTACATATATACTTGCATCTAAAGATTTCATCGATTTTTTTGAATTTAATTCTTGAAATAAAGGCCTAATTATTTAAGAGTATTAATGCGTAATATTTTATATATTAATTACAAACATGTTATATAAGCATTGCATTAATGCAAGGAACAAAGAAAAATTGCTATTTTAACTAATATCATTCTTAAATGTCTTTTTCAACAAATTAATAATTCATTTTATCAGAAGGCAGCGTTAATAAGAAATATTTCAATTTTAATTAGCCGTGAACTTTTCACATTAACAAAAAATTGAAACAAAAACCGTAAATAACTCTCTAAAAATTAAAATCTTTTATATAAAAAAGAAATTGGAAAAATCTAATTTATATCATTCATTGCATTATTAACAATATTATCATTGTCCATTTAAATCATTAAGTATTTAATTTTATTTATTCATAAAATAATAAACTATTTCAGTTGAACTGACACATTTCATTTAATAGTAAACAAACATGTGACAGACAGTTAAATATTTTTATTTTTTTAAAATTATTATACTGTAATTTTAGATTAAAAAATTGTCCAAATAGCTTCAGTAAAAGTTTGTATTAATGTTTTTTGTGCTTGTTGATTGGTAATCTTTTGTAATTTCGTTTTGATAACTGATAGCTTATCATCAATACTTTTTAATACATCACTTAATCGGCGTACTTTATTGGTTAGTTCTGTTATTTGCTGCAAAAGCGAAAAATTGTTCAGAATTGAGAAATAATTTAATGAATAAAAACAATCTAAAAAAGTCATTAAAAAAAGATTGAAGCTTAATTTAAGCCAAATTTGCCATCTTAATTATAAATTGAAAGCTAATAATATATGCAAAGATTTATTTCCTTGTTGAGAAAATGCAAAAATTACTTAAAATTTCGATTTTGGTTGTTATTTTAAAAAGAAATTACAATCAAAAAATTGATTTTTAGGTAAACAAAACGATTGTTTTATTAAATGTAATTAAAAGTAAAATTAAAACAAAACAAACCTCAAGAAAATTGAAATAAAATAAAACAAAAAGAATTCAAAACGATTTATTGATAAACAAAATGAAACGAAAAGAAAACAAAGAAGAAAAGTTTGATAAGAAGTTGTTTACATTTGGATTTTGGAAAATTTCATCATTCTCATATAAATGTAATAAAATATAATGGAGAATTCAAGGTAGGAATAGATAGGAAGAAATATGCAAACCGTTGTTTGTAATTCATCCAGTAATTTGATTTGCTTATCAAATATATCATTTTGTGCTTGTACATATTGATAATATTCATCACGAGCTTTTTTTAATGTCTAAAAGTTTACAATAAATTTGATAAATATAATATGTTATGATTATTTTGTTAATAAAAAAAATATAATATTGAAATATAAAATATATTGATTAATTCGTTGATTTGAAAGAATCAATCAATAATTCAATTATCATTCCAACTGTAATACTTGATTTAAAATTATATAATTCTTACATCTATCCTTGTAACAATATCATCCATTATTATGCGTAATTCAATATCTTTTTCGCATTCTGTAGCAATTTCTTTAAGTTTTCTTAAATTATTAAATATAATATTAAAAGTTAAAAATTATAAATAAAAAATTAAGTAATTCATTTCATTGATTAATTATTAAACCCAAAAGTACAATATAAAATTATTTGAGCAAAACGAATATCTAAATAATTCATTTTTTATAAACAAAATATATAATTGAAAATAAAATTTTAAATACAAACATAAAAATTTCCTTTTCGTCTTTGAAAAAATATAATAAAATAATAATTTTAAATATAAAAATGTTTTCTAAATTATTTTTGTGTTTGATTTTTAAATAGAAATGGAATCGAGCAGAACAAGAATTTCAATCAGATTATCAAAAAATATCATAAATTGAAATAAAGAAAATATGATCAGAAGTGAGTTAAGAGAAATGTTTTTCTTTAAGTTTTTTAAATTAACATTGAAATGCGTTCAGCTTCATAAATGTATTTCGTTCGATATTTCCATTTCCGAGCATTTTCTTCTTCATCTTTCGATGTTGGAAGCTAAAAAGATTGTTGAGAATTCGATGAATATTGCATGATTAACTCTTCTCTCATTATCATATGATAATGTGCATCTGATATTATATTTTTAATTTAGAACACCTTTCAATAACTTCATCATTTATTGATTCATTTAATTTCATTTATTCCAAATATGATACTTTAAGAAATTTCGAACATTTATATCATATTATTTCTTTTATTACTGTTTTAAATGAATTATTTGTTTTTATTTTTCATTCAATGACTAATAATAATTATTGAACAAATATGAAGTATGGATTTTCTATTTAAATTATTTCATATATAAATGAAATTTTAATAATTAATTCGATTTCATATTTTTGAGTATTAGCATTATATTTTTGCACATGTATTTTCATGCCAAATGATTAAACTATGCTTAAATGACCATTACTTTTCATTTTTAACTTCAAAGTAATAAATAAAATAACTAAATTTACTTTCGATAAAGTACATGCGATGCGTAAGGTGTCAAATAGAGTAAGCTTTATAGCAAGGCGTAAAAGTTAACGTTTGCAAATTAATTTTATCACCTGTATATCACTTTTATGTGATGATGATCGTGGGATAGCGGCACTGCTACCAGCTGACGCTAATGATACTTTTGATTTCGATGAACTGCTTGCTATAAGTTATTTATTCTCTTTTTTTGTCCTCCAAAATTTCATTAATTTGAATTAATTTATTCATCAAAAGTCACATTTTTTATATAATTGCTTAATAGCTGAACTTCGATAACTTTAACAATAACAAATTGTAATGAAATTTCGAATAATAATAGAAAAATTTCCTCACAATCAGCGGCGGCATCCAATGATAACTTTAGTTTTCGTGATTTCTCTACAATGAAAGCGCTAATAAATTTAACTTTGGCTTATTTTTAATATACCGAAATTAGTATTTGCAATCTTTGAAAATATTTATGTACAGTATGAATTAAAATTTATTTGATGAAAACAAAATTTAATTCAAATATGTTAGATGGAAGAGATGTGAGGGAAAAGCAAGGATGAAAAAAGGAGGAGGAAGAGGGGGAGGAAGAGGAGGAGGAGGAGGAGAAGGCGGGGGAGGAGGTGGTGGAGGAGGAGGAGGAGGAGGAGAAGAAAAGGAAATGAATTCAATGATTGAATGAGAATTAAACAAAATTCAAGCGTGAAGACTTCATTGGTTAAGTTATATAAATATTTTCATGCATACTTTTTGTTATTTTCTTCTTTCGTTTCTTTGCTTTCTTGTCATATTCCTTCAATTATAAAGAATAAATTGGAATTGGAATTTAGTAATAATATTTATTATATAAATGAATTTCATAGATTAATTACTTTAAGTTTTAATTGTGAATGTGCAGGCATTGCACGAATTTCCAATTTGGCTTGTTGTGATTTTAGCAATTGCATTTTTTGTGCTGCGGAATATTTCGTCCGATATTCGTCATCCGGCATTTTCTTGCTGTCAAAGACAATTTTTTATCATTTTATAGATAAAGATTAATCAAGTTCCTGATGATATGAAAAAGATCCTGATTGAAATTTTTTATCAAATTTCATAAACTTAGATTGTTTTAATTTTTTGATCAATTTGGCATTAATAGAATATATCCAAACTATGTACAATATTATTGTTATTATTAATTGACATCATTCGTATTAATAATATTAATTATTATTATCATTATTATTAATCATTATTTCTTTTAATTTTGAGAATAATTTCTTGATGTATCTTGTCGAAAACAAAGAACTTTCCTCATATTATCACCTTTTCTTTCACAATCATTGCTTCTTTCTATTTTTTTTCTGATCAAAAATATGAGTGATAGCTTCAAAATTGAGAAGCTTAAAGTAATCAACCTTCTGAACTGATGAACTTGCAAGACAATGATATGAAATGCATTAATAATTGCAATTTTATCATGTGAATAACAAAATGCAAAAATATTAACAGAAGTTCATTTAGTATTATTAATTGATTGAAATTGAACAGTTAAGAAACATTGATCTCCATTTCAAAAAAATTGATCGTGTTCTAATCAGAAAAGGCTAAACATTTCTATCGAGAAAAAACGAATTCTATTAAATCATTTAATTCATTTAGACTTTTAATTCAGTAATTCAAGTATTGCATGCATTTTACTAATAATTGCACTAATATTAGGGATAATAAAAATACTCAATTAACAGAACTTATCAAATGATTATGCAAAATTCTTTCACAAACTTTGACATAGAATTTTTTTACTTTTATTAACATAACCTTAACATAATTAATATAATTAACATAATCTATTTACTAACATAATCTCTATTTCATCACAATATCACAATCTTTCATAAAATTATGGATTTATTATTATTCATTAAAATTAAGTTATAAAAATTAGCAAAATTAAAAAGTTCGTATCTGTTTTAAATATTCCAACAGAAAACATTTTATTTACATCCGAGAGAAAATAATACGCAAATATACCAACAAGGAAAATTATCACAATTTCCAATTTTCATTTAATTTTTCAAATGTTGAGTTTAATGTGATTTTCTACTATTTCCTACAAAATTTTTTTCCTTTTTGAAATAATTTTTTTCCAAAGAATAATAAAATATCAATTAAAACAGGCTAGAAGAAAATGCTTACTTATCACTATAAGATAAAATATAGGACAAAGATAAAATATAAAGATAAAGTATAAATTAAAATATAAATTATGATAAAATATGAACTAATTCCACTGTCTATCTCATTTTCTTTTGTAAAAAAATTGCAAAAATGCGATAAAATTAATTTGCTATTTAAATTTCTTCTTTAAATCCATTTTTTGGCTATTAAAAGCTTTTGTTTACATTTAACATAATTGTATGAATTTTTTGAAAAAAATCATAACATTATCGTTGCAATTTCCAATACATTTCAAAAAGATAAATTCTATTTTTAGACAGCTTTGTTTGTATTTACGTAATTTAACCAATAAATTCAACGTGATACTTTGTGAATATACGTGATTCACAAACGTATATAATAAATTTTTTCAAAGTTGTTAAAAAGCTTTTTTTAAAGTTTTAAGCTGTTTTTTGAAATGTTTTGTCAGTTCGTTGTAAAAATGAAACGAAACAAATACTGTCTAGCAATGTTGTAAATTTTTATTTTGTTTGGAAGAGTTTTAATTTGGTATAATCGAATAATAGTGAAAGCTTAATATTGGATGAAAACTTTCTTCCTTGACGTTATAGTACAATTATCAGGAATTAAGAGCAGGAACGATCATTTGATCGTTCTTCTTTACCGTTGATCCTGGAAAACAATTTGGGACTATTCGGTTGGTAAGAATGCTTTGTTTGAGAGTAGTAGAGAACAGTGCACTTCGTACGTGTTGGGTAATGTTCGGTGAGCACTATTTATTGTAAATAGACAATTGATTATCTAGCAAATGAACTAACATACAAAATAATTTATAGGGTCATTTGATGAGACTAATGGTAAACATGAGGTCATTAAATATATAGATCATTAGCGATATTCGTTTATAGTAAATAGACAATAAAATTGGTGGTTAAGAAAGAATTGCTTAAATATATACAATTGATAAGACCTACGATAAAGGGAGTTACTTGATGGTAATCATTTACAGTATTCTTTAGAGTAATAAATTGAGATATTAAACAAAGAGCAATTTGACATGAAAGACTTTTATAACATAATTTCACGAATGCAACATTACGTTGATTATGCAAGTATTTTTATATTATAAAGCTATTTAGAAATATCAACAAGCTATATAATAGTTTTTTAATGAAATTCCATACTATAATAATTGAATGATTAAGTAAAAACTGACACTGTAATTTGAATTAAAAGTTGTTAATTTTATAGTTTGCCCTAACAATTTCATGCCTAATTCTTATAGAGCTATAGCTATAATAAGTAGCAATTGTTATTTAAAAAGTAATAAATATGTGATATTGATTTGATAGCTTAACCAATTAGTTAGATATTAAGGCCTTACAAGGACCTTTCATTTACCTTTCACGCAATAAAAGTCATCAATGAATGTATTAAAAGTGAGCAATTGTAAAGAAATTTGTAATTAGTAAACGATATATACTTTTTTTTTAATTGAAAAATCAATGCAGGTAAAAAATTCTTTTCCTTTTGTTTAATTTTTGTCTTCTTTTCGGTTTAACCGACAAATTTATAAAATCAATTTTTTCTGATGTTTAAATCATATCAATCAAAGAAAACTTCTGCATCTTATTAGCATTTTAAGTTCAAGAATTGCATGCTATTTTCATGGCATACAAAGCAAGGAGTGATGTAATGTGGTAAAGAAATCGAAAGTTTCGACGATTTTCGACATTTCCAATTACATCATTGCATCCCATAGTAAAGTAGTTAACATTAAAGTTCAAGTGATTTTTTCTCACCAAATAATCAAGACGAGAAAAAAATAATCCAATCAAATTTATGGCCTTTTCATGATGACACTTGTATTATATGACTGCTCTAATTTATTATTCATCAATTTGAAATTCGACTATTACTTATTGTTTAAGAAAAATATTCAATTTAGTCTTAAATTTAAATTCAATCAGACTTTGTGTAAAATTATGTATAGAAAATTGCTCGCATCTGTATTAATTAATATCATTTGATATGCTTGCTAATTCAGAAATTTGCTAATAAAAAATACTGCAACATTTTAAGTTAATCAATTTGATGCCATTCTTATTTATGTATTTATTTACCTATTATTGCTACTGATGAACTCTACATTTGTTGAAAAATTTATAGAAAATTATAACTGAAAAAATGAATAAATAACAATCGCAAAAGATAAAATTACTGAACCAAAAAAGTCTGTCCATCTTTTCCTGATAACTATGAATCCGTTCTGCATATTATTCAGAAGTTATTAGTAATAGGCTTGATTACTTCGAACATATTAATGATCAACTTATATTACAAGATTTCAGGTTATTGATGAGTGAGGAATTCGCACACAAAGTTTAATGTTTCGCATAACTTTTTGTATAAAAATTTTCCGGAAAACATAAAAATTACTTGATTTTATTTGGAATGCACAATCTTTCAAACAGTTGATAATCATTATTTCTGTCAAATTAATTATTTACCTTAGACATTTCGTGACTTTTAACTATTTTCGCGTGGGTAGAAATTGGTTTATTTTTGAACTTAATTAATGATTTTATTACTACCGTAATAGTCATACAGAAGGAAATTACAAGAAATGATGAGATTGTAACAAAAACAAAAGAGAAAAAAGTAAATATAATGTTCGCAAAAAACCACAAACGAATAGTTTTTTATTTTTTTTTAATATATATAATTATTAATTTATAAGAAGTTATTTAAGTATACCTTATATGTATACTATAAAACATCAATTTCCTGTAATTAATGCTTTGAGGTACAATAATCGTTTATTTAAATTTTGGACTTTTCCCTTTTATTCAAACTTTACGATATTATTATTCGATATTTTGATACTTTGATAACATTTCCTGTGTCACTATATATATATATATATATGTATTTATTAAAAATTTCTATTTTGCGCTTGAGAAAATGTTATTTAGAGAATTTTGATTTCAATCTTTGACTCTCTTCAAGTAAAAACAAACAGTTGCTCAATCCAACTGCCAATATAGAAAATTAGTTTATGCCATAAACATATCTAGCCGTTTTTAATCCTATTACAATTTCTTGAGGTTATTTGCGGCACAAGTGATTCTTAAATCTAGACTCTTTAGATATAGTAAAATCTCTAAGTAAAAATTTGAAACAAAATTTAAGATATAAAATATGAAAAATAATATTATGTTATTAAAATTTAATTCTTCCTTTGTTATTAATTTAACTCTATCTTTAATATTTTCTTTCTATATTTATCTATAAATTGCTTTAATTCAAAGTTTGCTTTATAATAATATACATCTACTGCGAATATAATATTTCCATTGATAATAGTTTTGCGACGACAAACAAATCATATTTATCGTTTCGCAATCAAAAAGGAAATATACCCTGAAGTTGATTATCATTTGATTCATTTTTCATTTTCAGTTTCAAAAATAACAATGAATAGAATTGCTCTTCTTGTTGCATTAATGATAATTGATGTTTGCTGTCCATTTTATATGATTCCAAGGCCAGGCAGAATATTTAGACTCAGAAATGATTTGGTTTGTTTAAATTATTTTAATTATAAATCTTTCTATAATTAAATAAATAATTTTAGCACACAATTTTGAAAGATATTAATAATTTAGTGCAATGAAAAATAAATTAGCAAAATGAAATATATTTCAAGATGTTATATTTTCAGAAACATATAATTTATTTACAGTTATAGTTAATTATTTCCAACTAATTTGCACTTCTTACTATTGACATTATGAGATAGTTCATTTTGTGGTATTATTTGCATTTT